AGTAACAAGGGAGTCGGGGATGGATGACTGGAATGCAGCTGAGATGGGGACGGAGGTGGGACGCGAGTTGTGATAGGAGAGCGGCCATGTGTGATGCAGAGCAGCATGTGAATGTGAATGTGGATGTGGATGTGGCAGTGGCAGTGGCGGAGGTGGTGGTGGTGGTGGCGAGGAGGATTCTCGTGATTGGCTGGAGGGTGGGTTGCCACCGACAGAATGAGCACTACTGGTCAGCATTGCTTGCTTGAACATGACTGAGTGTGTTAGGTCTTCCATGCAATAGGCGCCTGAAATTGTTTCATTCATGATGGCATCACTAAGTATTCTCAGTGCAGGGTAATTATGCACGAAGAGGGGCACTAGGGGAAGGAGTGTGGGCACCCACTTAGAGCTTACCCGAGTAGACAGTACTGGCGCCACTGCCTCCACCACCAGCAGGCATGGAGGCGGTTGAGTAGGGCGACATACGATTGGAGGAGGAGGAGGAGGGCGGTGGATTGTAGACACCAAGGTGATCGGGTGACAATTGGGCGGCAGCTCTACTGCACGCGGCATGGAGAAGTGACAGACTTGGTGGTGTTGACGGTTGTTGGCTCGCCTTGACGAATATGTTCTGCGCCGATTCCAATCCCCTCGCCAAACTGTTCATTGTCAAGGAGGGCGTCTTGAAGGCTGAAGTGACGTTGGGATTGACGCTACCACCACCGCCACCGCCACCGCCACCACTACCACCACAACTGACGCCACCAACACCACCATTACCACTGCCACTGCCACCACCACCGCCTCCACCACCACTAGTCTTCTTGCGCTTCTTCCATTTGGCTCGTCGGTTTTGGAACCACACCTGCAAGGCAGAAACAGTGACTGGTGCGTATGCTCGCATACATCTCGCTGCACTTTCCTACTCTACCAAGCACTCCTTCCCACCAAGTATCCTTACTCCCCAATATGCTAGGAGGTGAAGCAGTCGAGGCTGTGAAGATCTACGTCCAGTTAAATTGACACACTGCTTGGGGCATTGAAATGAGAGGAACAATCACCTCGGAAGCCTACACCAGTATACAGTTGGATTGTGTGGGAAAATAATGGTGGAGGATGGAGGGATGTGTGCGAGTGGATGAGGTGGCACATTCGTCTGTTGCTTTGGGAAGGGCGTCCCATGGGTTGGTTCAATGACAGTGAGAATTCTCGCGTTGTTCTGTCGGAAGAATGCCTTCCTCCTCCTACTTTCCTCTTCCTTCTCCCTCTCCTCCTCGTGAACTCTTCCTCTTCAACAGTAACGATGTAATTTTTAGCAAGAAGCTCGTAGTTGTCTAGCCCAACCGCCC